GAAACACCACAAACTTATGATAAGAAAACTTTAGTGCCACCCTCTGGATATGTCATTTTAAAACAACTATAGCAGGTATACCGGCTAAGATGTTAATTATGTTGTTTTTGGGAGAGATCTGCTTTAACTATTCTAACGTATCAACAAGGAACCAATGAAGTAAAAACAGACTTTCCAGACTGTATAATTAGAAAAAAAAAATTTTCTTTGAACAAGGTATTCCTTATTTTATAATTTACTTCAAACTTTACTAGAAAATATAATGTAGAGATGTTTGGTAGTGGTTTTAATATGATAGTTTTCAGTGGTTATTGGTTGACATTACTAAAGTGCCTTTTACGAAAATTCTGTCACTATCCCAAATATTAGCTTTAAAGTGGGTTCTTTACTTTGTGTATGAACACAATGCCAGGTAATACCTTTGTACCCAAAACATACAGATACTTTAACCACTTGCCCTCCTGAGGATTTACCCCCCTTCCTGACAAGGCCATTTCTTGCGAAACGGCGCTGCGTTATTTTAACTGACAATTGTGCAGTCATGCAATGCTGTACCCAAATGAAATTTATGTAGTTTTTTTCCCACAAATTGAGCTCTCTCTTGGTGGTATTTGATCACCTCTGTGTTTATTTTTTTGCACTATAAACCAAAAAATGACTGTCAAATTTGAAAAAAAACACAAACAATATTTTTGACTTTTTGCTATAAAATATATCCCCAAATTTTTCTTTAAAATCTAATTTCTTCATCAATTTAGGCCAAAATGTATTCTGCTACATGTCTTGGCTAAAAAAAAATAAAAACAAAATCCCAATATGTGTAAATCAATTGGTTTATGTGAAAGTTATAGCGTCTACAAATGGCAGTATATATACTGGAATTTTTATTATACTAGTAATGGCGGCGATCAGCGACTTATAGCTGGACTGTGGGGAGCATTCTGACACTGGGGGGAACTGACAGTGACACTAATAAAAAGCAGACACTATACTACTGACACTGGGCAGGAAAGGGTTAACATCTGGGGTGATCAAAGGGTTAACTGTATGCTGTGCGTGTTTTACTGTGTGCTTTACTAGGGAGACATGCTGCTTTGTATCTCTACTGTACAGAAATAGAAAACAGCAAGTCTATGCTGACAGAAGAGAGACCTGTGTTGTTTACACACAGGTCTCTCCCCTGTCAGCTTCCCCTGATGCTTACTGAGTGCAGGCCGGGACCTGGTGATTGACATCTCTGCCGCCAATAGCGGCGCAGGTAGGGCGGGGTGTGCCCCTACCTGGAAATGCAATTTACATATATACAGTATACACGTGTTTTTCCACAGCCCTGTAGCAGTACTTCCACTATAGGGCGGAGGGCAAGTGGTTAATAAATAACTGTAAGGCCTCATGCACACAGGATATTTTGCTAATTTCTTCTGGCAATAGCGGTTTGGCAGAAAAACCGCCTGAAGCCTGTAAATGCGTGTAACGTGTGGTGCTCCACTCACTTGGCCATTAATTTGATTGGCCACAAAATCATTTATTCTGAACACTGAAAAGAATTAATGCTTAAAATATTAAAAGGCAGCCGAGCTGCTGCTGTGTGTGTCCATTCACACGTGGGGCTCTCTCCTCATTGGTTCCCTAGCTGTGATTGACAGTAACTGTGGGTTTTTTTTTTTTTTTTTGTGCATGGACACATAGGCTAACATGTAAGAGTGTTTAGGCAGAAAAAAAATAAATATTGGTAGTTGCCCCTAACAGCCATGTTAAAATTGTCTGTTGTGCATGAGGCCTCACGCTGACTGCAGTGACAATTGTGGGATTCAATTTACAAGTTAAAAATAGCAGGCACTCTAGAAATGTAACACAACTATCAGAAAGTAAGTGGTTTTATACATATTCATGATCTATACTGGCCAGAGGGTATGTACCCATTACAAAAACAAAAAAAAAAAACAAAGCCCTGCTTAAGTACTGCAAAGTCCCATCCACAACTCTGCCTGCCAGAAAAGCCTATTCTGTGCTTCATTCAGATGCTGCTTTTATTTTGTTACTAATGGCTTGACTTTCCCATCTGCCACTGGAACTATGTTCTGCTTACTCACTGTACCTCTTTCCAGTGAAAGTGCCTTCCCTGCCAATAATTGTGCTCTTTTTAAAGGGACAGCGAGTTAGGGCAGGAGATGACATTTTGTCTCCAAGGTCAAGTCATTAATGACAAAATAAATCAGGGTTAAAGTGCACAGAAGATTTTATTCTGATTAAAAAAGGTTTTTTTGGGTTTTTTTTTTTTTTTAGCAGGCACCTTCTTAGCAAGGATGTTTACGAATATAAAATGGCTAACAGTTTCACTTTACGTTATATTCCAATGATATACGCTGGTTTAAAAGGGAACACTCATGTTATGTGCATCAGTTATTTAGGAAATCATTGCTGAAAGGAGATTTCTACCGTAAAAGGAAATTTTCTTTTTTTTTTTGTTTTAATCAGAAACACCAAAACATCTGGTAGGGGGCCCTAAAGCAAGGTCTACTTTTTATTTTACAAAAGATGAAACAACCCCCACCAGGCCTGCAGTTACAGTTGAATGTGTTCTGTTCTGAGACAACTGTATCAACAGTTTGTTTGTCCAACAATAAGGAACAATAGGCACTAATAATTTGTTCAGTGCTGAATGCAACTCAGACATTACAGTTTTCTTCAGGGCTGAACCAGGTATTAATAACATCTAACATCAGAGGATAATCATTTTCTCTCTTGAGGAAGCATTCAAGCACTGTTGACATGAGTGCGTAAACCTGCCATACATGGATTGAGATTCAATTCATGTATAGATGGGCTGATTGTACCCAAGTCAATCCATTGATTGACTTGGATACAAAACAGCCTGTCTGATTTTTTAAAAATTTGATTACTGCTGGTGGTTATAGAAGCTAGTAGTAATAATTGTGTTCTGCCCGCCAGGAAGGCTGCCTGCCAGTAGAACACATTAGTGCTGCAGGAGACATTTCCCCCCATCAAAATAGTGTTGATCGGGGAATGAACAATTGTCTTTCTCTCCACCCATAGTGGAAGAAAAGAAAATCAAGTCATCTATGGGCTGCCTAAGCCCTGGGTACAAAAAATGGTGTAAGCACAGGCTATAAACATAAAAGGTCAGTCAAACATGCTGGGTTTTTCAATATGCATGCCTGCTTGGATTGCCTGGTTATATATGTTTATGGCTATGAAGAAGGCAAAGCAGTTTATCCCAAGCTCCAAAACAGCAACAATCAGATGAAATCCAACCCAGCCAGTTGCTATTCCCCTTCCCTAAGGGGTTGGGAGGCTTGGGATGTCTGCTGGTGCCTACTGCATCTTTGCCCAATCCAGGCAACATAAGTCAAAGCAAGTCATGATCATCTCAGGTTAATGAGTACCATAACGCGTTGTGAAGAACATGAGTAGAAGTGTAAATCCCCAGGCACACAGGGTGTTAGTCCAGCTCTCACCTTTCCTCCTGGCAGCAGCGTTTTGACAGAAAAAATGCATCATCTGTGTAATTGCGCCTGGAGGCATTTAGCCATGTCAAGCTCTTGGATGTTAATTTAATTTGTCAGAATAATTATTTATTTTGGCCACTGAAATGAACTAACGCTCAAGCGCTTGATGCGCCTAATGTTAACGTGCTTTCAGATGCATTTCCACATGTCAAGCGTTTTTTCTGCCAAAACATGCTGGCAGTGGAGTTTTTTTTCTGCCTATAAGTGCCTATGTGTACATGGACACCAGGGCATTTAGAGGCATGAAAAAAAAACAAAAAACAAACAAACAAAAAAAAAAAAAAAAAACGGTCACCCCTAAAAGCAGGGTTTGTAACGCTCAACATTTAGCACTGCTAAATGAATGCAGACGTGGAGTCACCAAAAACTTTACAAGGAATGTGATAACTTCACACAGAGGTAGCCATGACAAGAGGGTATAAACTAATATGATGAGCCATAAAAGTTTGGTCTTGCTATATAGCAGCATCCAAGTACAACTGTTTCTAAAGCCTATTGTTTGTTAAGAAGGTTTTAGTTCAACTGATGAAGTATCCTGCTATTAACGTTGACCGTTATGTTCCACTTATAGAAACAAGTTTGTTTTTTAAATGGGTTTTGGCACACTGGTACATATTTTTTTCACTCAAAACACTTGGATGCTTCCTAGGCTGTAATAAGAAAGATGTCCAATGTATATTCTAAGTTACATGCTGTCCATCCAGTTTAACATGTATGTGAGGTAATGGAGTCTGAGGTTGGTGATAAAAAAAAAAAAAAAAGGAAGTGCTAATAAATGCACTTTGGAAAAGAGCTCAATCGGCTTAATGCATTAAAGCTGAAGGAAAGGAAAACTAGTTATGATGCCCATTTTATCTCAACATTAGTTTCCAATATTTTGAAATAGAAGATGGACTATCCACAACAGCCCATCAGTGTCTACAGATAGTTGTGTATTTATTTGAAGCTACGAAATAAAACCCAATATTTGTTCAGTTGCAATGGCCAATACTTTTCACCTTCCCTTTGCCTCTATAAATCAGCCTGTGTGTTGTTTGAGAAGAGCATTTAGTGAACCTATTCATCACATAGGTGACATATTCTATCTTTCAAATCATTTACACTCTCCCATAGGGAGTATGCCAGTAGAATTGTACAAACTTACCGCTGAAATGGAAAAGATCAACCCAGCTTTTAAAGATTTAGAAAAATAGATTTTGAGTGCAAAAGTCATTACTGTGTAAAATCCATTGCAGTTTTTGTTAGAAGACAAATATGCAGTCCTGATATGGTTGCAAGAAAAAAAAAATCCATAACTCCTACACTGTACACAAAACAAAATAGTAAATTACACATATACAAAGATCAAGCTGTTTTTTTCGTCCATTTAATTCCTTTACCTGTCCCATGTTGCTAGATGTTGATATTTTAGAAATTCAACTGTTTTCTTGGTGTCAACAGTGTAACATTTAATGATAAAGACTGGTCTGGTCAATCATTATCGGAATTTGGTGGTGGTAAAAATACCAATGCATCATTAAAGCTGTGTCCGTATGCTCTTAATCTGTAAACACCATACATCATGACTTGCATGTTGTTAGGAGATAGTCCACTGAAGGTGATTGCCATGTCTGAACAGCAACCCTCAACCACCTTTTGTGGGTCATTTGCCATTGCTTCTTTAATTAGGGTACCCACTGATTTTGTGTTGAAGACATTTTTACCTTCAGAATCTTCGGCATTTTCTGCGAGCACACCCTTGTGCTTGAGGCACATTGCTAACTGCTTGTCTTCGGAGACCTTCCATATGATGCTGCCTGTTTCTGGACACTTGTCTGGCTTATTCATCAAGTCCACAAAACGATTTACACACTCAAGGCTGAGTACTATGCCACCTGCAATATTCACGTAATCCAAATCTCCATCTTTCACAGTGTGACCAATATAGAATGGCTCTGATGGGTCTTTCTTCAGAAGAAAGTATTTCAGGTTTTCAATAATGGCAAAGGTGGACGGCTGACTGATGAAAAACCAGTTGTACTTGTCTTTGTGGTTTTTGTATGCCATTTGGATAGCTTTTCTCATCATAACCCACATGTCGTTACTGTCAAGAACAATGGAGTCAAACACCTTCATGTGCTCAGAGCTGTAGAAGTCAGCCTTGTCACAGTGCTTACTCCAGGTGGTTCTCGCAGCTGCCCAGAGGCTCAAGTCTTTTGGTCTGACAAGGATAATACAGTACACTTGGATGCTTTCGCTAAGTTCCATCTTCTCTGTCCCCATCAGTTTGAGAACCTCCTCTTTATTAGGGGCATGAATGTGATGGTGTTCATGAGAGGTAGTGGGCTCGTGGCTCAATTTAATGTGTCCTAGAAGAGTAATCACTATGCAGAATGCAACTCCTATCAGCATTCCCCGCATAAACGAACCGCCTTCTGAAATCATCTTCCTACAAAAAGAAAAAAAAAAAAACTCATTATAAACAAACTGGCAAGGAGGATAAGACAACGTGTTAAAATTGTTTGAAAGGAAATTGCCGATAGTACCATTTCTTTCATTTTCAATTATGTACTAGAGAGCAAAAGTTCAAAAGAAACATTTCCTTTGAGAAATATGGGGACAGTTATTTGTTACCTTCTCAACCACCTGACCTCTGGAAGGTTCTACCCCTCTCATGACCAGGGAATTTGTTTTCTATTCAGCAATGTGCTATTTTACTGGCAATTACTTGGTCATGCAACACTGTACCCAAATAAAATATACAGAATTTTTTTCACACAAAATAGAGCTTTCTTTTGGTGGTATTTGATCACCACTGGGTTCTTCATATAAAAATGAAAAAGAAAAAAAAATGTTGAAAAGAAACAATATTTTTTCACTTTCTGTTCTAAATATATCCACTAATAAAAAAAAACAATTCTCCATAAACTTAGGCCAAATTTATTCTGCTACATGTCTTTGTAAAAAAAAAAAAAAAAAAATTCCATTAAGTGTATATTAACTGGTTTTTGCGAAAGTTATAGTGCCTATAAACTATGGTATATATACTGGAATTTACGCAGCTATAGACACTATACTTGTAACGGAGGTGATGAGTGACATAGTGTAACTGTGGTGGGCGATCTGGCACTTACAAACACTGACTGGGAGGGACACTTACTGACTTACATTAATACATTGATTAGGTATAACACTGTACTAATGACACTGGCTGGGAAGGAGCTAACATCAAGAGGCAATAAAGAGGTTAACTGTGTGCCTAACAAGTGTAATGTGTTTTGCTTTTACTTACAGATCTAGATGTGTTTTTCTCCCTGCTTTACAGGGAAAAGAAACAGCAAGATTACTGTTCTGTGTACCAAGTTCTGTGTGTTTGTAAACACACAGAACTCTGTGCTGTGATTGGACACAGCCGATCAGCAAGTTTCAGCAAAAATCATTGGCTAAAACCTGCTGGCAAACTCAAGTCAGCAGGGGGCGCACGTATGTGTGGCCCAAACCCAGAAGAAAGGCAGCAGCGTACTGGTACATTGCCAAGCCTGCACCTGCCACCAGCTCGCAGTCAATGTAATGTGAGTGAGTGACAAGTGGTTAAAGTGCTAAAATACTAATGGCCTGGAATAAGTATGCAGATCTTAGATTTTAGAAGTCCTTATGTGCATACTAGTTCTGGGCTAGTGACTAAAATGATTGGCAGCCACCCAAGTAGCATTTGTAGAATACGGAGTCAGCAATGGCAGCCTCCATATTTCTCAGAAACAAGATTGCCATTACACATTTTAATCAAATTTGTTACCATGGGAAACAAATACTCCTCTTCCCAACCCCCTTACGGTTCACAGCAATCAAAAAACTGAACTAGAATATGATGCATCTACTGAATGGAACAGGATTACACCAAGACAGATTTAGGATAGGCTGCACTTTACAGACTTTAACCACTTCAATACCGGGCACTTTTACCCTCTTCCTGCCCAGGCCATTTTTCAGGTTGCAGCGCTCTCACACTTTGAATGACAATTGCACGGTCATACAACATTGTACCCAAACTAAAATTTTATCATTTTCTTCACACAACTAGAGCTTTCTTTTGGTGGTATTTAATCACCACTGGTGTTTTTATTTTTTTTGCTAAATTAACAAAAAAAGACTGAAAATTTTGAAAAAATAAAACACGTTTTTCCTTGTTTCTGTTATAAAAGTTTGCAAATAAATAATTGTTCTTCATAAATTTAGGCCGAGATGTATTCTGCTACATGTCTCTGGTGAAAATAACCCAAATTAGGATGTATTATTTAGTTTGTAGGAAAGTTATAGAGTTCACAAACTATGGGATATATCTGAATATTGATCAATCCTGAAGTACTGACAGCCACTCTAATTTCTTGAGGTCCAAGAATATCAGAACAGTACAGATATCCTCCAAATGACCCCTTTTTGCAGAGTAGACAGTCCGACGTACTTCATAAGAGGCATGGCGAGTTTTCTGAAGTTTTATTTTTTTGTCATAATTTTTCGGAAAATGAAAAAATTAAAAAAATTATTTTCACAATTTTTTTTTTTTTACATATGGTCACCAGTGCAGTACAGCATCATCATATAACTGGCATGGCGGTGATCAGGGACACTGACTGGTGACAGTATGAAAAAAAAAAACGTTTTAAAACTTTTTTTAAAGATTTTTTTTTTCATATTTCACTATGACCAAAGTAGTACAATGTTACCATAGTAACATTGTACTACTTTGGGGAAGTGATCAGTATTTTTTCTTTTTTCTTCTTTTTTTTTTTTTTTTTTACACAATTTGCTTATAGCAAAGAATTACTTTGCTATAAGCAAGCATTTACCTTATGACATCCATTCATCCCGGTTTTTTTTTTTTTTGTTTGTGCTTAGCTGTGATTTGGCCACGGCTAATCACATGACACAGCTGGGCTGTGATTGGCCCAGCTTGTGCATGTGATTGCTGTGACCAGTCACAGCTACACACACTAGTATACAATGGATGGCATGAATGAAGCCATCCATTGTAACTGTCGTGACCTGCTGTGATTGGTCACAGCAGGTCACATGGTATGAGCAACGGGGCCGGTACTCAGATCTGTCATCGGCCATGTCCATGGTACACGGCCGGTGACAGATTGTGCCGCTGCGTGGCTCTGCAGGTGTGCAAACTGCACATGCCCAAAAGGACGCCATATGGCGTCCACCCAGAAAGGTGAGTGTTTTTGCTGGCTGCCATTCGGCCATAGGTGGGAGGAGGTTAAACTTTGTTTACTTGCTAGGCTACATAAAGAACTTCATAAATTAAGGCTCCATACACATTAGCGTTTTTGTAAAAGCTCAAAAAACACTAGAAGAAAACCCTGGATGAAAAACGCTGATAATAGCGTTTTATGCTGACTTGTAGTAGCATTTAGGAGCGTTAGCTTTTTTTTAACCGTTTTTTTTAGTACCCGGAAAAAAAAAAACATTTGAGAAAAGCTGTTAGGAGCATTTTAGTAGTGTTTAGGAGCGTTCAGAGTTTTTTTCTGCCGGAAACATGCTCCCAAAAATTCTTCAAAAGATGTTTTCTGCTCCTAAACACTGTAGCCTGAAAAACGTTTCTAGCATAGTGTACATGGATACGTAGGATAACACTGTTAGCTTCCAGGGGCAAAAAAAAAATGCTAATAGCAGCTTCTAGGAGCTTACAAAAACGCTAGTGTGCATACAGCCTAAAGGTTTTCAGGTCAGTTAGGTCAAAAAATATGAATATTTTTCTGCCACAGAAAACAAGCTTTTATACACCCTAGTGAAGCAGACAGCTTTTTATTGTTGGATTATTATAGCAAGTTATTTGTAGCCCTCGGAACACAGGTCAAATATCAAACATAAACCTGTATAGACTCTGAACAGAAGGTCATATTGGAAAATGTGCAGGTGGACTTGTTTAGTGCTTTTGTGTATTAAACATCTGACACCACTACTGTGACAACAAGACTGGAAAGTACAACTCCAGCCAATAATATAGAAGTTGAGGACACAGTAAAACATAATTCATTTTCCATCAGAAGTGGAACAATTCTCTATGAAAACATGTCCTCATTAGGAATGGTTACTGAAAGAGAAACTCCAAGGGGAACGTTTTAAGATTTTAAAGTGGTTGTAAACCCTTACCTATACCCAATTAGGTGGTTGGCTTTAGGTGATACACAGAGGTGACACAAATTCTCCTACATAGTTGTTTATCTGCAGCCATTTGTCCAGTATATCCTTGTAAAGCTCAGAAATTAAAGCGGAAATTGACCCCAAAGGGAAAGTTCTGTTTGTTTGCATTGTCCACTTCCACATTTGGCACTGTTTGGGGGGAGAGGATACCTGATTATAACAAGTACCCACTTCCAATCAGATTGCCGCTTTATAAAGCTTGTCTGAATGGTCAGAAAACAGGGGGCGGAGAGCTGATGGGAAGGAAGGGACACAACCCCCTTCAAACAGCACACAGGAACAGAGCTGAGGCTATCAATCACAGTCTTTGTGATGGAGATCCCTCCCTGTCCCTTTTTTTTGCTTGGCATCTGAAAAACCTGTCTATACAAATAGAAGAGGAATGAGACAGCAGACAGAAATGATACTTAGTGATCTGGATTTGGACAAGTACACACTATAGATGGATATACTTTTTGTTCAGATTTTATGTCTGAGGTTACAACCACTTTAAGCCCTGGTTCACACTAATGAAGTGCGGAATTTGCAGCGTTTTCTGTGTGAATTCTGCAAGGCATCAGAATCGCACCCCGTTCATGTGAACAGATGCGGGGGAGTATGTTAAGTTAACAACACCCCGAAAGCGGTCCACAAAAAGTGGTGTGATGTGCAGAATCAGATCGCATAGGTGTGAATACCCATGCGATCCAATTCTAGTGCGGACCCAAAAAAGGGTCCCACATACAAAATGTATGGCTCCAATTGCACCGCACACAAATCGCATGCGATTTGCACAGGAATGCAGTGCGGCTCCTGTGTGAATCACATATGCGATATACCGCACTGCATATATGTGAACCCAGGCTAAGGGGTAAAATCTTGCTGTAATATTTTTGTATTGCAGCCTCTATTCCTGTTTGAAAGATTTTCTCACCTTCTCTCCCAAGGACAGTGGTCAACAGGACGGCTGCATTCATACCTGAGCACAGCGATTTTCAGGAGTTTTTATATGAGCATTTCTGCAAGTGTATATGGGCATTTTTAGAAGAGTATTACATGTGTTTTACATGTGTATTCAAGCTTGGGCTTTTTGTTTCAGCCAATGGAAATCACTAGGGGGAGGATATAAGTTAATATACAATGGATATAAAAAGTCTACACACCTCTGTTAAAATGTCAGGCTTTTGTGATATAAAAGAATGAGACAAAGATAAATCATTTCAGAACTTTTTCCACCTCTAATGTGACCTATAAAC